TGCCCATTTTTTTGTTGTTCAATGTGAAAAACATTGTTCAGAGTGTTTGGGTGATTTGCCGGTTCACACAAAGGATCTAGGACAGGAATACTGTGTTGTTTTCAATTATACCATTATTTCTGTCTTTCTTCTCCCTTGTTACATAGTGCTATAGAAGCATCTTTGCAGGTAAAAAGAACACTGTTGACACATCAGCCTGAAAAGAACACCATATACAGTAGTGTTCAAGTAACACCTGGTGCTACTGGTGTTCAAGTAACACCTCATGCAGTAATTTATATCATGCAATACCCCCTTCCTTCTTCTTTGCCTGTGTTCAACCTGCCGCCAACTCTGGCAGCTTCTTTCCCCTCCATATTGCCAAGGGATGCTGTGAAGGCTGTCTTCCAGCAGCTGACTCTCTATGTGTGTCCAGTGCCTCTCTTTACAGGGCTCTCGCCTGCCAAAACTCTCTCTTCAAACCTGTCACATCTTACCTCTTCACTTTCCATCCTGACTGTGTCACACTCCTGGGAAAATGACCAGATGTTCCCCAGCAATCAATCAATCAATAAATAAAAATTAAAAATTAAAAGAAAGTCTGATTGAGGAGACTAACAGAGAGCAGGGCTCATGAGAGTATAAGGTATGTGCCAAGTTGCAAAGAAACGATAGACTTTAGAGTGGAACTAAAAATAAACAGTAAGTTGTTTGACATCTCTTTGTCTGATTCAACTTTCTGTGGCACCAGAAAGAAGGGTGTTGCCCTCTGTTCATGAATGCCTTATGTTTTGCTTGCAAGATGTCTCTTCTCACATCAGAAAAAGTAAACTAAGAAAAACAATGTAAGTGTAGCAGATAATGCCTGGGCACGGCTACAATCTCCAAGTTGGAGCCAGACTCAACTTACAATGTTCGTCACAGTCTTTCTTCAAAACACGAGATAACTGTGATGCATATATGTGATTCCTCAGCACATTCTTCTTCTCTCTTCTGTTTGCTCTCCTGTTCAGATGTGGGTCTGTGATAGACTAGGGATTAAGTGGGCCTAGAACCATTGTGTGCTTTGTAACTGCTTATTCTCAAAACAGGGTTGGCAAAAGAGGGAGCCCTGGTGGTTAGTCAATCAGGAGAAGAAACTAAACTCTAATTCCTAGCCTACCATTAACTCAAAATGCACAAGCTTTTCCCCCTTAACTGCATCAGTAAGAAAAAAATAATGCTAGTTACTGTCAACAGCAGGAAAGAACAGAATAAAGAACAAAAGAAAGGACAAGACAGAGGTGAGAAATGAGGTGTGATGAAAGATGAGCTATCCAAACGCCAGCTGAAAGCACCTGGGAGATTACTTCTGACCATGCGTTCCACCTACAGCATCACATGCTTTGTAGTATTATTTTGAAATAAGATGAATAGGAGCTAAAACTAAGATCAGTTGTTTTAACTAGTGGGTTACTGGGGGAAAAAATCAAAGATAACATGGGGTTAAGACAAGCCTTTCTGACTTTGCCTATTTTGAATTGATTTGAGGATCCACTCCCACAGATTAATTCTAGATTTAAAAAAAAAAAACCCTTCAGGATAATCTATGCAACAAAAAAGTTTAGCTATCCTTTTAAGAGAGTGGTTACTCATTTATTTTAATGGCGAACAGTCCTCCTCTTTCTAGAAAGCCCATGTGTCTCAACCAAACTCCGGAATGGGGGCATTTTTAAGAATAGGGGCAGAACAAGATACCTGCCCAACTAGCTGTGTTAAGCAATTGACCTCCATAGTATCAATCAGCAACATTTATGTAATTTGCTGCACATCAGACATCGTGTTTCTTCACATACTTGACATACATTCTTACTTATTCCTCACAACACTATTAGGAGAGACTCTTATTATATCTGTTTTATATGAGGTCTTAGACGATTTGTTGCCTTGCCAAATCAAAGGCAAACAGTGAAGGCATGGTAGAATCCAGCTCTGAAACTTGTGCTTTTAACTACATTAATGACTACCTCCATCACTGACATGGCAGATGTCATGGGGTGATCCTACCCAAGCCCTGTAATATACTCTAAATAATACTACCTACCTAAATAGAAAATGGTAGTTGATGGATATAGCAGACCCCACTGAGATAATTCAGGCATAAAATGTCCTCTTGGCACTTGATTATCTTCCACCTTAGACATTGATAAACCACTCCCTTAGGGTAACATTTCTGTCCAGCAAAGCATTTCTCTTGCCAAAGCATAATTTTGTTGGCTGTATCCATCTCCTTCAAGCCCTGGAATCAGACCTAAGCTAGTAAATTGTGCTGTCCTGGCAAGATATTCGTCCTCCAGGGCATTGTATTAGGCTAAAGTAATACATCACATTGCTTCCCACTCTGTCGACCCATTTCTCCAAAGAGTCCTAAAAGTAATGGTTCTGCTTTAAATCTCCAGTTGTTCTCACCCCTTAGAATTCACGTCAACTCCCTGGATTTGGAAGCCAAGGTGGGATGAATAGCCCCCTTCTCATACCTGTTCTTGAGTTGGGCTTCCAAAAGAAGGGAGATTCTCAAAAGAGGGGAAGCCCCAGAGAGCTTCACTTCATTCTTTTTAGACCCATACATACACAAACATTGACTTAATTGGGTAACATTAAGACTTTGGCCTTTGGGGTCATGGCAATTTAGTAGCTGAGAAAGAGTTGCTGAGTGATGAGGCTGGTGTCAGGTCAGACAGGGCCGTGATTCCTAGAAAAGATGACCTCGTCCAATGAAGAAGCAATAGGACTGGCAAACATGGCCAATTAAAAATTAACATGAGCCAAAAGTGAAATCAATGCCTGAATTTGATAGGTTTTCAAGAAAAGTTTATAACACACAGTTCATAGAATATAGGACATTTTCTCAGTGCTCACTCTTGCAGATACCAAAGATCAATCCTACTTGGAAAGATACTTCCACAGAAAAAAGGCACAAACGTACAGGGTTCACATGCAAAGTATAAAGCAGGTCATATGTGCATGTGTATAGATAAATATGTATCTTCAAAAACAATTCTTTTTTCAAAATATTTAGCATCAGCTTCAATACTGACAGTCAGTCACTTATTTTTTTGCTATGTGTTGGAGTGTATATGTCTACATACTCGTGTTGTGCTAAATATTAAGGTCAGTAGTAACACCTTCTTTCCACACATTTACCAAGTACAGGACACATATCTAAAAAGTTACTTTAAACTATGTATGATTTCCATACCATTTTTTCAATGCAAAATAGTGCCTCTTAAAGATTTTAAATGAAGTGGATATCCTATGGATATAAGGAGTATCACTCTTTCAATGTATTACATATTGGAACTGGATAATAGTCTTAGTACAGCTGTTTTTACACTAAGAATCATGCAAGCCTAGTTTTCCATATAAACCTATCAGGTTGGAAAATGATTCTTCCTTTCCCACAAATGAAAAACACTATTAAAATGCTAATGAGGACAATTTTAAGATTACTCACACCTCATACAATTTTATACTAACACTCCACACAAAATTATGTCAACTGAATGTTTTTGTTGCTAAATAAGATGGACAACAAAGAAGTCTTGCACTAAGGAACTAATAATTTTGAGTTATTGTAAATTTCAGTGTGTCAGGCATTCTGAAATGAAGCATTTGAATGAGAAGCCTAATTTTCTGACTTCTGCAGATCTTAACTGCAAAATGCATTATGTAGTCAATCCTTGGTTAATCAAAATTGACTGGAGATAAATATCTCATTCACTGATAATCCATTGTTCTCTTCCATTAGACATATAATTGGCAATTTTCTAGAAACATTTCCCAAAATTCAACTTGTCTTCACTTCCCTGGTTTGAAACAATTGATCCCTTTGGGAATCTCCTCCTGTTAGCCAATTTCTACAGAATAGTTTCATTACTCAGAAACCGAAGAGTTACAAGGCTATAACTTCAGAGCCAGCGGTAACCCTATTGGAAAAATGTTTGCACTTCTGTTATTTAAACACTAATTCTTCAAATTGGTGTCTCCTTGCTCCAATGATGGAGTTAACTAGTTAAAGTAAAACTTTCTCAATAGTAGCAGAGGGAGGTTTCAAAGGTAATTAAATTCAAGTACAATGTGCCAACTATATTCTCATAAATGTATAAGCAAAATGATCTTACAAACTAAAGATACAAACTAGCAGAGGTAGTACCATGCTTACCAGTGATGAATACTGGAGCTCTTTGCTCTCCTGGAGCATATTTCTCTTCAGAGATGGAAGTGACAGAGCTGTTTGCAACTTTAACAAAATAAGATTCAGCTAATTGGTGTGATTTTGATGATGCCACAATTCTGCCCCAAAACTTTGTAACTAGTAAGCTTGCCCTAAAGATTATTGAATTACTCCATTGACCATGCATTACTTAAAGGGAAGTGCTGTTGTTATAGAAGCCAGCTGTTTAACCATTGGAATTCTGCTTGTTGGCCAACTCTCAAGATAGAGCAGGACATTATGACTAAACATTATGTCTACTTAGAGAAGAATCAAAGTCTAAGTTAGGTGCTGGCCAACTTGTCTGGTCAGCAGTCTTTAGTCTACACACTATGAAACCCCTGAAGCAGAAACTATTGACAAAATCTGTATATAAATATATGCATTTGCAATGTCAAAGCTTTGTGAGAAAATTTCTGCGGTATGGAATGCATGTCTGTTCACTCCAAGAGTTGAGTGAGTGTGTAGACCTTTCAGAGTGCCAGTAGAGCATAACTCTGGAACAGTGTCTCAGCATAGAAGAGACTATCCAAATCCTCTGACTTTGTTGCTGCAGAACCGCAAAGAAAAATAGAAAACAGATTTCTAAATCAGATATATCTGAGTTTTAGATTTGAAAAATACACTAAAAATTTGGCTTAGATTAATTTTCTCTTCCATCACTTGACTTGTTATAGAATCTTCAGAATAGAAAAGACCATAGCAATGAACCACTGTATTCAATACAGGAGTCTATCCACCCTTAGGTTCTCTGTAAGCCTTTACTTACCTGCTTCCCCCAGTGGAGATCTCACTACTTTTCAAGATGTGTCCATTTTCTTTTCAGCGTTCTTTAGCTCAAGCGGATTTCTTAAAGTAATCCAGTATATGTTTTCCATTTCCATACCAAATCTGATTCTGTCCAGTGAAGCAGATTAATCAGAATTTTAAGGACATATTAGAGCAATCAATTGCATCTCATTTAAGAACTAGTCAAATGACAATATCTTTAGAGATCACTGAAACCACGTATTTGTTTCAAAATTGATCCTGAAGCAAAGTGTTTTATTGCTTAATAAAACAGTGTGTGAGTTTTCTTATTTCACCCTTTAGCATCTCTATTATGGTTCTAAAGAAAAAAAATAAGAGGCAGCTGAAGATAGCAAACAAAACTTCCACCCTTAATTGAGACATCTCAATTAATGAGAAATGACGATTTTTTAAAAATATCTTGTAGTACCAGAAATCAAGTCTATAGGACACTGCAAAGGCAATAGGTAAACACTTGTTGTATTCATGTATTCCAATGAAGTACAATGAGTCCATTATAGACATTATGAATAAACAAAGAAAAACATCTAAGATTGTGGTAGCTAGATAAGTGGTACTTGTATTTACAGCAAAATCTAAGCCTGTGCACTACTATTTCAGTAATATTTTAAAAAACAAATTCATGCATAAGATAAACTTTATGGGAAATTACAGAAATGTCCTAAAATTCATGGTTATGAAATCCATCAATCTACGAACTAAAAGAGACAGCTATTTCATCAACCATGCCATTTCGAACTGAGGTCATCTAATAGAGGTAACAAACCAGATGTGTGCTGTGTGCTATTATTTTTCACTGTGCTGATGATTGCTGTCTATTTCACAAGAGGAAATAGACCTATGGTGAGTTTCATGCCTGTTACTGGTCATCAAGGGAGGAATGTGCAATACAGAGAAATGTCCAAGGCTGATGTCTGTCTTCTGGAGCCAGCAGGGAGCTTTGGTACCTATGGGAGCTCAGAAGTGGGATTTCTTGAGAGTTGCCTGAAATGAACATGAATAACAGGTCTCAGAGTCACATAACCTACCCCTCTCCATTTTCAATCCATGAACATGGATTTTGAAATCTGTTGTTCCTGAGTTAGCCAAGCTTGAAAAATTTTGGAACCCTTCCTACCACCCCACCCCACCCCCAAACATCGAATCACTCTTCCATCCTCAACAAATAAATCCCAATTATGTCTCATTAAGAAATTTGTAGTTTCAACAAATAACAGCCACAACCTGTTGTGGATTACAAGGAAAATTACTGCAAAGAAGGTCAAGACCCCTTTTCTTTCCTCCCTACCCCAGGAGAAAATTCAATGTCTATCAGCTATCTTTGGCTGGCTAGTCACTTAATAAAAAGTATGTAGATGTCCTTTGTGGATTATGAAGAACCATTGAAGTCCATTTGTGTCTTTGTTCTAATTTATAGTCCCAGGAAAAAAATTATAAAAACAAAAAAACAGAAAACATTGTTTACACTGCTCCGGGGACCAGCAGACCCTGGGCTTGCCAAGGTCTGTCTGGCAAGCAGCAGCAGAATGGACTTCTGTTCTAGTCAATTCTCCAATGGCAAGTGAAAGCACTGTTGAGGCTCCAACAGGGGACAGCTGCTCGACCCTTCCCAAAGTCCACGTTATGGGAGCGGGATAGAAACACAGCGCTCTCACATGAACCCTCGCTGAGGGATGAACTTCAGCCGCCCTAAGAATGACAAGAAACCTGCCTTACAAGAGGAAGCAGCCCGTGGCTCCCGTGCCAAGCATCAGGAAAGCATTTAGGTTTTTAGAAGATGCCATGAACAGTTGGCCCTTTGAGCAGGAAGGCAGCCAAGTGAGGCGAGTAGGAGGCCATTGCCTTGGGTTTCATCTCCACCAGTGAGGGAATTCAAAATATAGATGAGAATTTTGACTCTCACAAACCCATCCTTAAACATGGTATCATTTCTGCATACATGTAAACTTTTTGTTTAACCTATAATAATGCTTTCTTCTGTCAGGAATTAAGATTGAAAAAAGTTAAGATTCCCTAAGTGGGTTCTTCTGGATCATGCATTCATTAATTTTCTTCCATAAAGACTGGATGTCAGTGGAGAAAACTCAGGCCCTCTTTCTCCCCAAGGAGGCAAGGATTATGAGAAAAGACCAATATTGATGTCCAATTGCCTTGTCTGAGCAAGACGAGCTTCACTTTTGTCAGTTTGATGTGCTGGTGTATATGTGAGATCCCGTTTAACAAGACTGCTTTGAAAAACCAAAAAACTTTCAAAGAATTCAGGGCCATTTTAAGTTCCATGTTAGATTATTTTGCCCTCCCATTTAATTTTGGAGCCAGAAAAAAAAAATGCCCAAAATAAAATAAAATAAAACCAAAACCTACTTGCCAAATAAAGAGGTCTAACTTAAAAATCAATTGATTTGTAAATAGCAAAAGAAATTTGATTCATGGTGTTCACTCTAGGCAATCAGAATCACATGAGAGAGGGCATTGATTTCCTTCTGTCTCAGTCTAGGAGTTCATTTGTAAAAAAAACAAAATTGAGTGTTTAGTTCTCTTTGGAGTGAGAGTGATAGGAAAGAAGCCTTCTGCCATTCTAAGCTCCAAGGTTTCCGGAAATATTCAGAAACAACATGACCTCTTCATGGACCAAGACAGATCCCAGGAAGGGATATTTAGAAAGAACAAACCAACATTTATTTAGTATTTATTAGGCAGCATTGTAAGTTATGTCAACCACAATGCATAGCTTATGTCTTATTGTTCTTGCAAGGAAGATACTAACCCCATAAACAAAACAGGCTGAAAGTGGTTAAAGTGCTTGATCAAAGTCACATAATAAGTTTGAATCCTGACTCTATTAATAAATATATGAATGACCGTGAACTCCGAGACTGGATTTTCACTACAGTAAAATGAAGAGCCATTTCTAGACTTACAACCTCTTTGATAGAAAATCTTATTTTACCATGGAGCCCGTTCAGTATAAAACCAAGCATTTGAGCTGTCCTGAACACAACTAGGTTGATTTGCTTAAACAGCTTTTTTTTCACCAACATTGCTAGCACCTCTCAATTAGGACAGTACCTAAAGGAACCTAGGACTGAGCATGGACAAGATCTTTGAGAGCTTGTGGAGAATTACCATGGAATACACCCTGAATAAATTAACGCTAGTAAGGGTGGTATCAACTATGAGAGACACACGGGAATCCAGAAGGTCTGCCGAGTCTGGAATTGTTAGGAGGCTTCCAGGAGAGACTGAGATATTGGGCGGCACTGGGCTGGGGAGAGAAGCCCCATGAGGAAGTTGAAGGCAGATCTCCTAACACGCAACTGCTCTGCATCTGATTTGTGCAGACAAGCCCATAGGGTACGGCTCCAGCAGTCGGAGGGCCCAGCAGACTGGCATCGTGGATGAGTGCTGCTTCCGGAGCTGTGATCTGAGGAGGCTGGAGATGTACTGCGCACCTCTCAAGTCCGCCAAGGCGGCCCGCTCCGTCCGTGCCCAGCGCCACACCGACATGCCCAAGACTCAGAAGGTAAGCCCAGGGGAGGACCTAGCCATCCTCGGGTGCTCTCCATTAATCTAAGATACTTTTCACACACCTGCACAAAGTAACTGTTGGACCAGTGTTGATATCTTTCACAATCATAATTAATAGTAAATCATGTGACCCTTCAAATTCTGAGATTGTGCAATTGTGCAAAGATAAAACTCTAACAGGAACTATTCAATATTCACATTCAACAGCAGCTTTCTAAAAACACAGAAGTTTATGTTTGATTGTAAGAATTGCCTAGAGATTTCTAATGATCAAAATCTTCAGGCATCTTTTTATAAAGCATGCTATAAACAGAGCTTGGAGATAACATCTATGGCATGTTAAGTGCATAGGACATCCAAGGCACATGAGTTACTTGGCAGATTTTTGTTAAGTCAGTGAGTAAACAGATGCATAACAATGGCTTAACTCAAGTTTGGCACATTGTGTTGAAAGAATGAGAACTAAAGAAAAGGTGAAGGAGGAAAAAAAAAGAGAAATAAAGAAGATAAGTGTAAAAAAGGGGAAAATCTGACGTAGGTCTCCTTGGGGATTCTTTTTAAAATTAAAAAAGAAAAGAAAATCGCCAGGATGTAGCTGTAATCTTTGGAGCAAAGGATAATATTGAGAAAAAATTCACAATAGAAGACTAAGAATGACACCTTTGCTGTTTCTTTCCTAAACCACAACTGAAGCCAAAGAAAGGCTTCAATGACTTAGCAGAGATGTGACCCCAGGGAGCCACCTCAAGTGATACAAAGACACTAGGTAGGGCCTGGTGCTTGGAACATAGCAGCCAATGATGCGTCAAGGGAATAGGACCCCAAAAGAAACTTCTGTGTGGACATGGAAGAAAACTGTTTGAGAGGGCAAAGATAGGCACATACTTTCTGTTCCCAAGCACCCCTCAGTTTCTAGTTTGGGAGAAAGTGGGTAATAGAGATGAGTCCCAAAGTTTGGAATGTTGTGTCCCAGGACCCAGTTTTAGATCCCTTACATAAGCAGCACTCCTGACTCTCATGTCATACAAGCCTGAACATTCTGGGTTGACTCAAAGGCTTGTTCTCCAGGGACACCACAGGAACCACCTGTTCTCAATGTAAATATTTTTGTGATGTTTACAGTATCAGCCTCCATCTACCAACAAGAAAACGAAGTCTCAGAGGAGAAGGAAAGGTGGGCGAAAAGAAACACCCAGGAGGGGAAGAGAAGGAGGGACAGAAGAAAGTCAGCAGATAAGAGGAAAGAAGAAAGAGCAGAGAAGGGAGACTGGAGCTAGAAACTGAACACAGAGTCAAAAACAACAACAACAACAAAAACTGGAGGCGAGAATGACTAAAGAGAGGCAAGGATGATTAGACAGCAAGCAGGAAATGAAGACAAGTAGGTCTGTTGGAGCTAGAGAGTACACTGAAGGAAATAAAAGTGACATCATGAATGTGACTAACAAATATGGGGAAAACCGAAAAGAAAAATGTAATACCCAAGAAAATCCAAAGAAAGGCAGTGGCAAAATGCAAATAAAAAGAGGATAAAAACTACAGAAGGCATAATCTTTTTTTCCCTAACCCCTGCCACAAATTAACCCTAATTAAATACAAATGATTCAGATTAATTTTCATATTTACACACACGTTAACATTTTATATGAATCTTTAGCTGAAGAAATGTCCATGTCAATTTATGTTTAGAGTTAAATATTAGCCCAAAATTGTTAGCAAGACTGAATTGTGTCATAGGATTTCCCAGATTTCCTTTCCCACAATGTCATTGGAAGCTGCATTTCTGAGTCAATCCCAAGGTTTAGGCCAGAGGGCATCCAATATTTGCCTAAAGACCTGTGGGGTAACCTTTTAGAGAAGGTTATTGGCCCTCACTCTCACCTCTGATTTTTTGGAATCAATTATAAAAGATGCATTAGTTTGGTAGGATGTCATAACAAACTACCATAGGTTGTTATGGTTGACTGCCATAGGTTGACTGCCTTAAATCATGTATATTTATTTTCTTGTAATACTGGAGCCTGAGTGTCCTAAACTCAGGAATCAGCCCCTTCAAGGTCTGTAGGGAAGGATCTGTCCCAGGCCTCTCTTCTCTGCTTCCAGATGGCCTTCTGATCCTCTCTCAACCCACTCTTCCCTCTTTTCTCCTTTTCCAAGCATATTTTTGTATCCAAACATCTTTGCATCAGATTAGTTGGGACAAAACCTAATGATCTCATGATAACTCAATCCAAATGCAACACAATCATATTTTGAGTTACTGAGTGTCAGAAAGGAACCAGATTCAGTACATACCAGAAGACTTTTGATGTCTGGTAGTAGCCTTTTTATTGCAACTCCTAGAAATACTCTCTATCACTCCATGTACACAGAGATCTAGAGTTTTAGATGTGAAATCCTGAGTCTCTGAGCTTTTCCTTCATAAAAACACTGCCATGATATGTTAGACCTGGAGTAGGTATCAGGAAGCATTTGGCACAATTCCTTCATTTTAAAGACAAGGACACTTAGACAAGGGCAAGACACGCCTCTGTTCTAAGTTGCTCTCTGCTTCTGGCCACCAGACAATAGCACATAATCAAAGTGAGTTGACTAAGAAAGAATTCTGAAATCAACAGAGAACAAAAGGCCCCGTGAAGTCTTCCACTAATTTAATATTCCACAAGGAGGAAGGCAGTGAGCGAATTGAAAATAAATTGCTGCCTTTCATTGAGGATTCAGAAGAGTGAAATAGAATCACAAAATTCAAATCTCAGAAAACTTCTCTCATTTCCTTTATGGAATCAGTGGGATCAAGGTCTTCATAGATAATAAAGAAAAGTCTCAAGACCCTCCAAATTGTAGATTGTAAGAACTGAGAAAGGATGCAAGAGAGAAGCACTCACTCAGCAAGCAAACATTCGATGAAAGAAGATGACAAACCAAGAAGTGAAGTATTTCATCCAAGTGGCCTGCCTAGAAGACGTGGCACAAAGAAAAGTCTCTTCTGCCTAGTGCTTCAGGGCCCTGCCATTGTTTCTACTTCGGGACTCTGCTTTCATAATTCACTGAAAACCCAGCATCCCTTGCATATATATGTATATGATGGAGATGGCCGAGGCTGTTCAGATCCAGGAGTAAAATGTCAATCAGAAGCCTGACAGTCATCAGTGAGAGCCAAGCTGCTGGGTTGGGGGGTGGGGGAGTTGTTTGTTTTTTGTTGTTGTTTTGTTTTCATTTTGCTTTGTTGCTTGAAAAGTGGATCCCAGATTATCAGAACAAAAGGACCAAAAAGCTAGTCTGGTAGCTGAGTCCATCCAGACAACTGCCTTATTCAGGAAAGGCTACTTTTTCCTAAGAAGACATCACATATTGGGGCCAACCACAGGCCAATACCTCTGCAACCATCACCTTAGAGTAGACCACAAACATAGATAACTTGTGAAGAGACCACAGTGCAGCAGAAGAATTAAGAATTTGTGTCCTGTTGAAAGAATCTGGAAAACTAGTTATACCAAAGCATAAATGTCATTCAAAAAATAAAATCAAATCGAAGGAAGGAAGGAAGGAAGGAAGGAAGGAGGAAGACAGGCAAGAGAATGTCAAAGAATGCTTAACTTCTACACTGTGCATTAAAACACTCTTCTTTTTGGAAGTTGCTTAGTTCATTCTAAAGCAATGAATTTGAATAACTACAGATTAGTGAATAATATGAAATAAGGAAACAGAAAGGATCTCTTGCTGCGTTTCTATATTGTACTTTCTAGCACCAATATTCATTTAATGATGGATGAATAAATGGGTAGATTAAATAAAGTAATATATCCAAAAGGATAATGTTAGAAAGACTTAAAAAGTTACATGGCTCAGATTAGTGCTTCTAATTTCTATTTAGGATAGTGACTCAATGTGTTCTAGAAGTAAACTCAGTTTTCATCATCACTTAAAATGTCAATCACTTAAAATTGCAGCAATTTCTCTTAGAGAAAATTAATGATGGCATATAAAGGTAATAGTAATAGGAATGGAGTTACACTAAAATAAAATCGTTGAAATAAGTAGTTGTAATGGAGCAACTACAATGTCCAAATCTCTGTACCAGGCATGAGGGAGAGTTACAAGCATCAAATGGGCAGTCAAACACAGTCAGTAACATCACTAAGTGACTTACCAATGGCCTCCACTCAGATCCTGGATTTCCCACTTACTAGGTGTCTTTGGACAAATACGTAACTCACCTATGTTTCAGTATTCTCACAACGAGTGCACCTGCCTCATCCAGGTTTGTGAGTATTTATGGATAGCAAGTGACGTATGCATGCTTGTGTGTACGCATGCAGTACTTAAATGGTTCCTGACACTCAGCAAGCTTTATTAAAAGGATACCTGAGAACATTTTACCTACTTTTGGAAATCAGAATCATATGAAAAATAAGGCAGTTTTCTGAGGTTGAACTGAATCTCAAATCACTAAAAGCTTAGATCCCAAGCTTGCCAAGAATTTTGTTGAGCCAAAGTTGAGTGTTAGGCATGTGATAGGAGAACTGGATGACCTAAGACCCCTGACAGCCCAGAGAACCTCTAGTTCTATGAATAATCCCCATGGAGCTGATAGGTTAGCCCTCCCACATGTTAAGCTGTTAACTTTTACTTCAGGATCACACAGCGAACTTTCAGAAAACTAACATTTTTCTCAACCACTTAAAATCAAATGTATTATGTGTTTTGATTTCATGGTGCCTGGGGAAAATTTAATTGTAGCAGGAACTCCAATTCTTGCTGGTATTAACTGAAACTGCCAAAATAAATAGAAATGTGGGATATTTCCGGGCTCACACAGCTTCCGGGACACTTCAGCTTCTAGGGCTGCCGATTCAATGCCTTTCACAGGCATTTGATTTTCTTTCAAGCACCTCTTGAAAACAAACAAAACAGCTCCGAATGTGTGTGCTGTTGGGATGGAAAGGTAGAAAAGGAGGCATAATAATAATAATAATAATAATAATAATAATAATAATAATAATAAGTGAATTCCCAAAGAGCATTGACCACCTCCCTGCCCAGAAAGAATATCTATGGTTTCTCAGGTCATAGGAGTTCAGTATCATGAATGGTGGGAAATGATGCCTGGTCTCCCTCCTTGCCTATGTGAAGGCAACAGGGCATTTTGAAATATTTATGCAATAACATGGAATTTACTACCAATTCAAAGGCAAAGTTGATAGCCTGAATTTGAAGTAGAAGAGTGTGGTGGCATTAACAATTCTAGGTGAAGCAGGATTCTTTTATATAAAGTTCAGAATATTCACTATAGAATTTTTTCAGTTGAAATTCAGGATCCTCAAACTTTCAGGGAAAAACAAATTATGGAAAAACAAGTATGGGCTTCAAAGAGGTTTTGTACCAAAATAAGTTGATCTTTTCATTCTGCCTTGCCATAAACTTTATGACATATCTTCTATGTTTGTCTAGGTGACTATAATACAAAGGGAGCAAATAACAACAGTTCTAAGAATATGATTATATATAATTTCTCCTTCATTTATTTATTTGTTATTTGAAAGGCAGAGAGAGAGTAAGAAAGGCGAGAGAAAGAGAGGGAAGGGGGAAAAAGGCGAGAGAAAGAGAGGGAAGGAGAAGAAGCAGCAGTGTTTCCATCTGCTGGTTTACTCGCTCTAATGGGCTGTGTCAGGCAGAAGCTGGGAACCAGGAATTCCAGCCTGCTCTCCTACACAGGTGGCAAGGACCCAAGCAATTGGGTCATCATCCACTGTTTTTGCAGGCAGATTAGCAGGGAACTGGACCTGAAGCATAACAGCCAGAACTCAGAAGCAGCAGCTTAACCCACTGCCACGATGCCACTTGGAAGACAAGTCTACTTGCAAAAGAAAAGCTAAGAAGCTGAAATGAGCAGTCTCTTCAGAGCCCACTAACTTTCAGGCCCCTGGAAAGTCCAGAACAACTTCTTCATCATCAAGGGCCTGATTGAAGTCAGAATTTTTTCTTGATGGTCCCATGGTTATGGAACCATGTCTAATGGGACTCCTTAATGACTGTACCCTTCTTTGCTTTTTATCTAGCAACCAAAAGTGACACTTTAGAAACACAAACTTATGGTTGCACTACAGAAAGAAATGAAAATTGAAAACAGTGGAGAAATGAGGGCTATTGGACAATAGGTCTTTGAGTCCATGTCTGACACTTCCAGAGAGCCCTTTAGAAAGTTTTCATCATTCTAGGAATTTCATTATAGCTCCCATGGGCTACAGTCACACCAATAATAAGGGCCAGAAAACTCTTCATCTTTTTTTTATTAACTGATACAGTTACAGTTTTAAGAATCATTGGTCAGGATACAAATTGTTTGAATCTTAGAGGTTTGATAGAAACAAAAATGCTAAAGTGCATCCAGTTGACTAGAATACTAAAGAGTCTTGGCAGTAATTCAGAAAGCACAGTTGGCAACAGAGAGCAATTTTAGAGACGAAAGTATTGTTTTCTTTACTGTGGGTATTTGTGTGTAGTCCTAGCTTTGTTGCACCTGTGAAGATTTTAGAGTGAATGATTTTCCACAATTATTGATAAACATGGGACCTTGGTTCTCCTTTCACGGAGGACAAATTCCTGGAAAACAAATCATTATTCAGGAGGAACTGCAAGATTTTTTTGTCCTCTGAAATATCCAAGTCATCAGTCTAAGTTAAATGCTATAGGGAAAATAAAGGCAACATTTTCAGAGGCACAGCCTTGCCTTCTCAGAATCTCCCTATATTGTTCATCTGTACATCTCAGTGACTCTCTTAGAATCAATTAACAGGATCACCCATTTCCAGGCTTAACTCATGATCCGTTACAACCAAGAGTCCTTGCATTCATACAGTCTTCTTTCCATCTTTTTTGTGCCCACTTCTATGTGAGACTGGCATGATTGACAAAATGATTACTTGCCTCCACTACTACTACTATTCTCTGTCTTAACCTTTATCTTCCTCGTTCCCTCTGGTATGTGATTCCATTACCTTTGAGTCAGGTAAAGTGACACACACTACCTTGTGCAAGCACATGCTCTTGTCACTCTGCCAGGGCATGGGGTGTAGAGGGAGCAAACGGCATAGGCAGTGTCTTCCTCTAACTGGCCATTTCTATAGCACAGGATGTTAAAGGCAAGGTGAAGAAAAAGTTGGGCAGTTCTTGTTTCCAGTAAAGTAGCTCTAAAGTTCCCAATGAGAAACCAAGATACTCTTCATCAAACCCCAACCAGTCAAATAACCCAGGTTTCCAAGGGAGGATTCATATGTCAAAAATACTAAAAATTTTGTGTGAAATGTATAAATACTTGCATGGGACTTTCTGTGTAGCCAACACCAAGAGGTTAGATAATTGAGGACCAATCAGGTTAAGATGTGCGATTTTCACAGCTGTAGATAACAATTATGGCAAGACAAAAATTCCAGATGACTAGGAGTCAGACTATAGCAGGTCAAGTATGATCATTTGAATTTACATGGCACAAGTGTGTACCTGGACAGTACACGAGGCATTGCAAGAATAAAGAAGTACATAGCATAAATGCATAGCACCAGTATTGTTTTTTTTTTTTTCCAAAACTGTTTGATGTAGGTAACTTTTGTGTGCTCTGGGGAAATCTGTATAAGATTGTTTCCTTTTCTAAAAGAATGCTGGGAGGAGGTAGAGGCACTCTGGGCAGAATGTAAGAGCTCTGATTTAAAAAAAAAAAAAACTGTATGCATACTAAACTCTTCTTGCTGAATTTTCTGTGTTGGAAAAACACTGGCTGGCACCTTGCATGTTGACTTTTATATGCAGAGGTTCCCATCAACGTCAAACAGATGCAAATCACTTCAATTTGTCATAGTGTTATTTTGTTCATCCTGAAAGTTCAAGAGAGCCTTCTAAGCTTCCAAAATTTCTCTCAATTCAGTGAGGAGGAAAATTTAGAATACAGAGTTTGAATGTTCTGCCCAGATTTGTCTCACACACACAAAGAATGGGCAGAAGAGAGCAACACCCTTCGCTACTAACCCTATGAACTCATCACTGTAGCACTGAAATGATGCCACAAGCCCCAGGCCTCCCATCATCCAAGGACTGTGATATAAATTACAGCCCACAATAGTGTAAAGATTCTAGCATCAGTAGTATGTCAAATGGAGCAATCACATTTGGCTGCTTAAGGGAAAGAATCATCAAATCTAGTTTTTAGGTAACAATGTGCTGAATGTTTAGTATGTATCAGTAAAATTACTAGAACCTGGTATTTCACTTTTTAAAATAACACAGCATTTGAATCTTTCAGGAATCCCCCAAATCACTTCCTCCTGGGACAAATATACACTGAAATCCTTTTTTAATTTAAAAACGTAAGAGAGAGAAAGAGATAAAGCTAACTAAATAAGCTGCTCATAAAATCAATAGTCTGAATAACCCTGAATTCTAACGTATTTAACAATATCCTTTAAGGTTACAGATGACAACATAAACACCTCTTCACAGCAAAGGAACATACCTTTGTGTATGTGTTTCCCTTTCTCCAAGCTTTTAAACCATTCTGGTGATCGCTTCCTACGTCACAGACAGAAATATTTGAAGTAGGGTCAGGCGGTATCTTTTGAAGAGGCAGATAGTTGCTAAATCTGAAATAATGGTGGGATACATATGTGCTCCCTACTTTCTGGAGATTCTTAGAAGTTCACCAGTTACTCAAGCTACAAACAGTTCCAAAATCTATACCCAGTGCAGTCCTGGAATTCCAACAGCTACTCTCTTTCCAAACTCAGGCACAAAAAATCAACACTGCAGAATGAGATGTGTTTTGACAACAGTAACTATTTTAAAAGTTAATAAAGATAACAGCCAACGCCATTAGGCACATTCTCTGCTGTAAGGGCTATAACAAATCACCTCACTGAATTACTATGAGCCTATATGTAAATACTGTAATTATCCCTATTGTATAGACAAGAATAACGGGCTGAGAAAGGCTAAATGTTTTGTTCTCACAAGTGGCCAAATCAGAATCCAAAACTGAGGTGGACTTCAGTGTGTTCACTATGCACTGCACTAACTCCAGCATTTTTCAGTTGATATTTACCACACTACAGGCTAACAACTATAATTTCCCAGACAGGCTGGCACTGGGTGCCACCTGTCCTCATATAGAGTGCAGGAAGCAGGTGGCTGGCACAAAGTACTTGATGTGAACTTGAACCCTATTCCATCACTCCTTCAAGAAATATAAATCAATTTATCAAGCCCTCCCTGGATTCTTGGGAGTCTATAAAGAAAACAGAAGTAGGCAATCTACCCTAAAGAAAACTAACCCCTGCAGAATGTACTCTCGAGTACACCAAGGCTGTAACAAAGGTAAACCCAGACAACTGTGACACGCACATCTGCCCAGATTCACATTGCTGACAGTTAAACTCAAAATTCATGCTGAAGTCAGAGCTCTTGAAACAGTATGCTCTCTTAAACACAATAATAGATGTTATCCCAGCTCAGCTACATGTGTAAAGGTGATCACATTTACTCACAAGAACACTAGGAGGTAGGAAGAATCACCCCACCTTTTTATATTTCTGGACTAGGAAACAGTGTATTGAATGTCAAAGGCCACACAACTCCTGGTGGATGAGGAGCTGGGGTATTTACTTCCCACATGCAGAAGTCCAGGTCCTCCAAGAAACAGAAGATGACAGGAAATTAAGTTAGCTAAGATGTTGTGAGCAGTCCTGCCTGTGTGAAAGAAAATAGGAAATGATACAGCAAGCATGGAGAAATAATCAGATTGCTATGTAAGTCTGACCCAAGCAAAAGAGAGAGAGTTGGTTGGGAATGTTCTAGGCTGTTAAAGAAAGTTGAGCATAGCCATCACTGTCTTTGAGCCAAAGCATGTCAATAAAGGAATCCCAGATCTTCCATGAATGAATCTGCTTGGTATCCTTATCACACTCAGGCATTGGCTTGTATTATGGCCCTGCCAACCTGAGCCAATCCACCATAATCAAAGGACAGAGTCATACAGGAGTAGGGAGTGCAGAGCAGGGAGCCATCCCCCCATAACTACATAAAGGGGGTTTTCAGAAAGCAACTTTAGGATAGGCAGACCAATGTTGTGCCAAGTTAACTATTTACCCTTCAGCCTTTCTTAATGAGGCAGACACACACGCGAGCAGTACAGAACTCTCAAAATGTGTACTTTGTCCTCTGGTTTTAAAGTCACATCCCAAAGTGCTGAGATTGCATGATATTCAGTCTCTTTGGCTCCCAGAGATGAGAGGCTGACCCAATTCTCCTGGAATTTGAGCCTGTGATTCCCTGAAGTAAAGAGATAACAAAATTGATACTGAGACATCTAAATCATTCTGTACAATTTCACATGTCCCCAGGACAAACCAGCAAAATAGCTGCTCTTTTTAAAGAGGTTAAGCGTTGCTATCTGGGCCAGTTCTCCAATCATCCACTGCTCTTTTTCCCATATCTTGCCCTTTTGGAGAGAAAATCAATGCTAAATTTAGCACTTGATGCTATACAATAGGCAGCTCCTATTCTGCACTAAGCAGTATTTTCCAAGTATTTTTATTGGATGCTAGGATTTTCTTAGACTTTGTATCATACAGAGCTTAACTATGTGGAGTAAGTGAAGAAGAAAGAGTCTAAAGAAAACACCACCTCCTCCATAGAATTTAAAGAGCCCGTTATCATCTTTCTTTTTGCTTCAGTTTCACAAGCAAAAATCTCATGAAGATGGGACAAAAGAAGGAGTCCTAATATCCGGGCGGGGAGGGGAGAGACTATTTTTGCTAATCAAATACTGTGCTACTAAACTCATAGAAACACTTATAAATAGGGGTGGAGTTCACTCTGTAGGAAAGGAGCATGCCCATCCTCCAGGATTAGAGATTTCTATCCCTAAGGCACCGTCTTATCCTCTAAAAGAGAATCTACCACCCACTGGCATCATAAATAATTTGAGACATCGAGACATCATCAGCTATTGCTATTGGAAGGAGGTTTAGGCTTGGAAGCCCCAGCTGTTGTTTTACGTCTTGGGGAAGCAAGATAGCAAGGAGGCGAACTGATGAGTTCTGCAATCAGAAAACAATGGTGCCAATCCCAATACTTATCACATCTTCATTTTAAGAAACTGGGCAAGCTGTCAATTCCTACCTTTAGATCCCTTAAAAGTTAAATGGTCAATAAATGAGTATCAGACCCTGAAAAAACGATGAGATTTAAATGAAAAATATATGCAATTGATCATGCATATAGCCCCCCGCACATGGTAAGTGTTCAAGCACTGGGAAGTGTGATTCCTTCAGTCCCAGATCCAGCAAGTCATTCGTATGCCACCTGGAGCACATCACGGAGTCCTGTGGAGTCTCAGCTTGTAAATGAGCCTGATGTGAATGACATCACCTCCTAAGGTGGCAATAAAGATTCAGTGAGAATCTACTCTGAAATGTTAAGCACAACAATTATTTTCACTGTTATTAGCCATCATGATCTTAACCAAAATGCTTGTATATAGGCTTTTAGAGGAAAGCTTAGATGTGACTCATGCTGGGTAATAATAGGAGAATGTGAATGCCTAGTCCAAGTCTTCCCTATCTTCCCCAAAAGCTGGTTATGCATGCAAATGCAAGACACATAATCATGCATGTCACAAATTAAGTGCTTCCCAACCTTGTTCCGCAGTGAGTTCTTTAATCCTTCCTTCAAAAGGATACATTTCTTCAACCCTAAGGTCAATATGTTGGTAAACTGGACCAACATTTTTTTTTAACGCTCTTACCTTCTCTGGTGTCAATAGGAAACAGTATTTACTCACTACTACTGTTTTCCTTTCAAAAAACTGTCTAGTTGCATACTAGAAACAGATTCTACTGGTTTGTTTGTCTTGGACAAGCCGTTGAAGTGAAAAGTTTTTGCTTGGCTGAATGTGGGACAGTTTCATAACCCTTCAAGAAGTGCACTGAAGGTGGGTGCCAGCTCTGATGACGGCTGCTTCTAAAGCTCCTTCACTTGCTGCACATTGTCAAGGGTGGCTAGTGTCATTAAATTGAGACAATGAGCAAAGCAACAGATGCAACCAAAAGCGACTCCCCGGGTGCTTTTGTTTTGTCACTGTCATTGTCTGTAACACAAAGAAGTCACATGTAAGAGCCTGGGAAGAGAGCCAAATGCAAACCAGACAACATCACAGCTGGTTTTGAGCAGCCTCAGCTGTACCCATGTGTGCATGGGAGCCCTGCTACTCAAAGCAGTGTCAGCTCTCCTCCAGGGAGTCTCAGCCACAGCCTCACTGTGATGCTGAGACTGACCCAGAAGAGAGAGACCCATGGCTATCTCTGTGAAGACTCCACATGTTTTCCCTTTTGCTGCAAGAGAGAAGAAATAGTCTCTCTATTGGGTGACAATGGAGAGGATCCATGTGATTGGCCAATCTGACCTTCTTTTCACTATAGTCCTCCTGAACCTGAAGATGAAACATGGAAGATGATTGGTTATCTTCTAGAAATGTGGAAGTACTTCATGAGGCTTTCCTTTCCAGTTGTTACCATTTCATTCTCAAACATTTAAGAAAGTTTGGGTATTCTAGATTCCTAAAACTCTCTTTATCCTGGTATATGCCTTAAGCAGAAAAAAAATTAAAATTAAGGTCAATATGTTAGCAGATTAGCTGATTTGGGACAGCTACCTGTTAGCTGAGTTTGGTTAGCAATTTGCCTGAGAGCTGGTTTCCTAATAGATGTTTTAGGACTTTTCGGAGCTGCATCTCCTCAGCAGGGTTCAAGCAGGATTCAACAGTTGTTTCATGGAGAATGGACACAGTGATGACCATACTATTTGTTTTCATATGTCTATCTTTCCTTTTTCTAGAGAAAACTTGTAAGAAAGAAAGCAGAGCAGGCTTAAGATTAATAACAGAAGCTTACTAGTAGCTTAGTGGTAAATGCACAGCAATACGTGTGTATTAACTGTACTTGGGTTTGCATAATAATCTGCATGGTATTTCAGGGGGAAATGCCATGATTTTAATCAACTAGCATTTCAAATTATTCTACACAAATACCCAGGTTCTCACTAGCATTTTATTTATTAGTTTTTTTGTTTTGTTTTGTTTTGTGTTTTGCAGTGGTCACTGAGCTAGCTAGTTGTTTTAATAAGTGTTTTGATTCCGTGGTGCCATCTTTCTCTACTAGGTCACTTCAAGGTGTTGACCATCAACTCATAAACTGAGTGCCATTTGTTCTCCTCAATTTTGTTTCAAATTTACTTATATTATACATGCATACAAAGCAAGAAGAAGTACAGACAAACTGTAATGACATGGTTCTACATACCTTAAAGGAACCCTTCAGATCCATTCATTGGTTTAATTCATTCTAAAGATTGATTCATTAACTAATTAATTGAGATATTTATTTAACACCTGCAATATACTTGGCACTTTCCTAAGTTTTAGGACTTGAACCACAGACAGACAGGCCTCTGTTCTGATAGGATCTTTGTCCTGAAAAAATACTCACTATTCCATACTAAGACATTATTTTTGGATAAGTGAATGGAAGATAAGTATGAAGAACCCAGAATTTTTATTTTTGGATTGGTTAATTTCCAATAAAGTTGTCATAAGAATAATAACAGGAAAATGAGCAAATAACAATAGCAGCTACTGCTGTTACTAACATTACATATAAAATGTTTACCATGTGCCACACTTATTGAAGTACTCTTACATACACTAACTTTTTCATTTTTAATCCTATACAATAGATGCTTTTCTTCCATTATTCTCAGAAAAGCCAAGGCCCAGGGTTCTTGTCTTTCAGGTTGACAGGTAAGGCGTAAAATGTAAAAGCTTGGGCCGCAATGTTGGAAAGAGCGGGGTTTACTTACATGGACAGAATAAGCCCTATTCTATAGCATAAACAGGTAGTTACGGTTTATTAGCTATAGTACAGATTGTTGTAAAGAATTAAAAGAGAGGAATTCAAAGCTTCCCTTAACATGCACAAAAAAAAAATCAGTATTTAAGGGGGGAAATGCTAATCACCCAAGATTGATCATAGCACATTGTATATATGTGTTTATTGATGACCTTGCATCCCATAAATGTCAAGCTACATTGCTTTAAAAAGCTAATAAGGTGTTTTAAAGAAATTCATAAATAAAGCTTCATTGAGTTCATGTCATTTTTTTTCTTTCTTGTTTCTAGGAAGTACACTTGAAGAACACAAGTAGAGGAAACGCAGGAAACAAGAGCTACAGGATGTAGGGAGATCCTTCTGAGGAGCGAAGAAGGACAGGCCACCGCAGGACCCTTTGCACAAGTTACCTGTGAAACACCGACCAAAAATCAGTTTGATGATATTTCAAAAATGGGCATTTCCCCCAATGAAATACACAAGCAAACATTCCAGCATTGTCTATAGGAGTGATTGTTCAAAGCTTTGCACCTTGCAAGAAAAAAAAAAAAAAAGAGGTTCAGGAGTTGATAGATTGCTGTTGATTCTTTATCAATAATATTCTATAGAATATTAATCCCTGCCGCTTGAGAGCCACAAATGCATGGGTGTCCTAGAGATTCAGCTGCACTAAATTGTCCTCCGAATCTTGGCTGCTGGAGCCACTCATTCAGCAACCTTGTCAAAGTGGTTTATGAATTGTGTCCTTATTTGCACTTCTTTCTACACCACACAGGCTGTTTTGCAGAATTTCACAGTCTTCATCTATCCCTACCACCACCTTCATAACATTTTTATGTGCCAAATTTGGTCTCCTCAAAAGCAGTAGAAGATAGTCAAGTAGCACACCAATTCTTAACCCACGAGTTTCCACCTGTGGCATTTGTATCAAATATAAGTTGAATGCATTTATTTTAGACACAAAGCTTTATTTTTCCACATCATGCTAAAAATGTAATACAAATAGTTGCAACATGAGGCCAATCATTTTTAGGCGTATGTTTTAAACATAGAATGTCTCCTCAACTCTCAGTGGTTCGCTCGAAGGATGAGTTAGCATGCAACCTGTGTAGTCACTTCTTTTTATTTTTTCCATATAGAGCACTATGTAAATTTATCATATCAGTAATACAGGATCTATCAAACAGTATGTAAAACTTTGTTTTTGTTTTTGTTTTTTAGTACAATGGTGCTATTTTGTAGTTTGTGATATGAAAGAGTCTGGCCAAAACGCTAAAAGGTGAAAGCAAAACAAAAAGGAAAACCTGGAGCCAACGTTGGCACAAGGAGGAAAGAAATAAAAAAAAGTCCACCTGTTTAGGAAGAAAGGCAAGTGTGCCCTCCCCCATCCCACCCCCTGTCCGTACACACACGATTATGTTTTTCAAGAATCCACTAATGCAAACTGGATGGGTGAGACCAGAGAGGAAGCCTTGGAATGGGAAAAAGCAGAAGGCTGGGCATTTTAACAGCCTCAGCTGCTTCTTCTAACTGAAGAAATTAGCATCGGTCAACTCTGCCAGGGACTTGCCACTGTGTGACCTTGGGCAAGTCCCTTCACCCCTCTGTGCCTCAGTTCCCCCATCTGCAGATGGGGACAATACATCATGTACCTACCTCAAAGGGGTGGCATGAGGGCAAAGAGTGAAAGCTTCCATCTCGGACCTTGTGTCGCTATGAGGGGTTAACATCAGAGCCGTAGAGTGGCTAAGATGCAGGAAGTTTTACATGACCCATTCACAGTCTCTCTCTAGAAACTGGCTAATGCCTCTGACAGCACCATTCATCTGAGTGAAGATAGCCCACTCACTAGTTGGCGACAGCTCACAGCTCCGTCTCCTTGAAAACGCTTTCAAATAAGTGGGAAATATTTGAGGTACTGTTTTTGAATTCTGTTTGGATTTGTGAGTACACAGATAGTTAAAGAGCATAGTGGAAGAGAAAAAAGGAAGAAATCAAAAAGATCCCCACCCATGGTTAGGAATTATTTCATGTATTAGCTCTCCTGAAACATGCAGGCAGTTACTTTCTAGTAATACCTCTTTCTTAACGCTGTAAAAGACATTCTATTTGTTTTGCAGCGAATGGGATTTTCTTTTCTTTTTAGGCAAAAAATAAAATCGCCCAAGACTTTGAAAATATTGGAACAGTATTTTAGTTTTAAAAAGTCACAAAATTACTTTTTTACACAATCTTTACGCTTATCTTTTGTTGAATCAAGATAACTTTGAAAATTTTACTGCTGTTGTTGAAATGTGCTGACCAGAGCTGCTTACTAAAAGCAAAAATTCCTTTTGCCTTTCTATCTGTTTAAAATGGTAGTCTCTGGCTCTGTATTGATGTGTCTTAGACATAACAATGAATATTCAGAAAACTCAATATTGAGGGTGGGTCCAGGATAGCCTAAAAATGTCATCCATGTGTGGATCAAGATCTAATTAGAACAGAATCACCAGGCATTCAGATCTTTCTATTAGCATGAGAACATTTTGGCAAAAAGCATCCATGCTTGGTAGCTTTCTGCAAATTTTGTCCTTTGCATTCTTGGAGACTGTATCTCAAACACAAGCGAACAGATCAGATCTTTAGCTTTCCCGCTCACTAATTCACCTCAAAGTGTGAGGGCCAGAAAAATGAAAAGGTTTTTCAGGATCTCTGACAAAATTCCAGAAAAGGCTCTGGTTCTTTTATTAGTCCTGTTTAGTTCATGAGTGTTGAAATCCCAACCCCCAGAGTTTTTTCAATTGGATCTTGGACATGCTGAGCAGTGTGTTCATTCCCATGGTCTAAAGTCAAAGAAAACATACATCACTCTCACTCTTTGTTTTGCAGACTTACGTCTACTATTGAAGAAGATGTTAGATTCCTTTTCCCGTAACACTTCCAGTGTTGCTTTCTTGTTTTCAGTTTGTACCTTTGAAAATAACTTATTCCAACAAAACTCTGCAGTCGCAGTCTTCAGATTAAGGATTTTCAAAACAATTCTGCAAATATCTGTTACTTACTCTCTTCACTAAACTTTATGAACAGTTAAAAACTCCCCCTTTGTACAGGAAAGCTTAAATAGTTGATGCTATCCTTTTCCACAACACATATCTTTCCCACTGTATCTCAAATCAAATAATTAAAAATTAACTATTATTTTTACATAAATTAATATCAGATGAAAATCGATAGAAATTATGTATAGTCAACTGATCACTACAGAATGAAGCAAAATGACCCAGCGTGATAAAAGGAGGGGCACTTAAAATTTCTCAACTTAAATCTTGATAAGCTCTGCTTTCAAATAACATTACTACACATTTTAGAATAGAAAAATTACAAGAGGTTTTTAAAAAGACTCTAAATGTTGGTAAGAATGGCCTTTTATTTTTAAAGCTTAGTTATCAATGTACTTGAAACTACTCAACACTTGTCAAATTTCAGTTTCCACTTCCAAAAGGAGCCTAAAGTGTTATTTGAATATTTAAGATGAAACAGCTCCTATGAGAAGGTTAATACTTTTCTTCAATAGAAAGCCCTCTTCCAGAAGTGAAGAAAAATTCAACATCTAACACACACACACACACACCCTTAGAAGTCACTGCCTTGAAAATCTTGTTAAAAACGAAAGAGCCTGGCCTGCCTTCAGCATCATTCCCCTCCTTGAAATGTCAGTGTGTATGTAGATGCACCCAACCCATGCATGCGGTTCCAGGATTTCTGTTACTAGTTGATGCATTTGAGAAAAACACTTAGGATGGAAAATGTAGCGCATTTTGCTTTCCCATTTATTGTTTGGCCAGCTATGCTAATGTGGTGCTATTGTTTCTTTAAGAAAGTACTTGACTAAAAAAAAGAAAAAAAAAGAAAAAAAAAGAAAGCATAGACATATTTTTTTAAAGTATGAAAACAACAATCCAATAGATAGATGGCTTAATAAAATAGCATTAGGTCTAGCCACCACCACCTTTCAACTTTTTATCACTCACAAGTAGTATACTGTTCACCAAATTGGAGTTTGGAGGGTACAGGGGCAGAAGCAGAAATTTTTAAAGATTAGAAGGCTCCATTATTTTATTGGCTCTCAAACTCAGCAAAAGTTAGCAACATGTGATCTAATCTGAACACCCTAATTTAGAGCTTGGAATATAAGGGGAGAGTGGGGAGACCTTCTAGGCCCATGGCAGAACTGAACCGATGGTTAAGTTGTTATCGTGTGTATGTGTGTGTGTGTGTGTGTGTGCGCACTCTGCTTTAAAATAGATACCCAGCAAGTGATGAAAATTAAAACAAAGAGGAAAAGCTACTAGAAACTGCTTCTTCTGCCACATCCTACTTGGGTACTCTGGTGTTTACTGGTTTGTAGAACATTCTCCCTTCATCCAAACATCTCACAGAGCAGTAGCTCTCCTTAAAGCAATCCCTGATATCATTGGGAAATGTTGAAAAGTATTTCCTTATGAGATGGGAGTTACCTACTGATAAAGAGAAGGAATTTATAAGAAATTGTTGAAAGAGATGGCTAACAATCTGTGAAGATTTTTTTGTTTTCTTTTTTGGTTTCTTTTTTGCTTTATACAGTCTATACGAAAATCTTACTGTTCAAATCTGACTTGGTCCTTTTCTTCTGTATTCATATTGGAATGAAGTTTAATAAGTTAAGCCCACCTAGACTCTTTAACCTTTAGGCTACGTAGACATATATGTTAATTTCTCAAATCAGACAAATCAGTCTTAAAAGACAATTTATTATAGCAGAACTTGTTTGGCTGTCCTTCTAAGAAAGATCTTCCCATTCAAATCATTTGGACTTTCCTATTAATGTTTTCAAAAGATGAAATCTGATTTATACTACAGCATGTTTTATTTCCAAATAGAATGGTGAGCCTTTATGCCCTGCCCTTCAATAATGATAAAGTTCCAGATCTAAGAGGGGGGAACAAAAGGAAATTTCCATTGATTCTTTCTTTTTGTTTTTTATTTCAATGCTAGTATTTAATCCTATAGTACATATTTGCTTATTGCTATTTTAATATTCTATACAACTTTCTTGTTAGATATTAGAAACTGATACACAGATATCATTTTTGTGTGATTTCTATTTTTTAAAAAAAATGAGGAGACAAAAGATTGAAGCTTTAAGTATACATGGTACAAGATAAAGATATCAATTTAAATAACCACATCCTATCTGAAACAATCCTTTTTTTTTTTTTTAATTTTTTAAGGTAATCTCTCATAGCTAAGATAGAGGCCCAGGGGATTTTTGAAACATTCTTTATCCCTCACAGTCCCTGCATTTTTAGTATCTGCCTCAGTTCCTTATACAGGGTTGTCCAGTTTGAAACCCCAAAATTAAAGGAATCGCTTTCAAAACATGTATTTCACACTATCATCACTTAATGGACAATGACATTGATCTTGAGCATGGTCCCTTCTCCTTCCGCGTTTTTCAGTTGTCACTGATATGATCATTCAAGAGGAAACAAAAACATCATTTATTTTTTTTAAATAAGAGAACACAAGAATATAAATGTTCCTGCCAAACTGAAATGCAAGCTAAGCTGGAGATAACTTTTTGCCTACTTGATAATTTGGGCTGAATCACCTGTCACTTTCAAAATGACCTTTCTCTAATCTTAGATTTTACTTTTTAAAAAATTACTCAGACCCCAAAGTAAACAGGCCTTTTTTTTTTAACCCAACGTTTGCTGAGGCAAAGCAGCAAACGATGAAAACAGAACTCCATAATCCTTTCCGCACCATCACTGACCCTGCTCAGAAATAAAGTTGCTCCTCTTAATCCTTTAATCTGATTTTGTTTGAGTATTTATCTTGTACCTGCTGCTAAACACACTGCAGGAGGGACTCTGAAACCTTGTTGTCTGCTCGTGTTTCTTAATTGTGTTTATGTATCATTATGTGTACTCAAAATATCAAAAACTTTCAAACATCATGTAGTTTATATTCAGTTTACACAAAAGCTCCAAATTTCATGTCAGATTTCTTTTTGCTAAAAACTAATGAACCATGAGAATTGGGATTACATCGTGCATTTCACTTCATGTATTTTTATCATGCTTATAGGTTAAGTGTGATAAACTTACAGATGCTGAATTAATTTTCCCTGGTACTTTGAAAGCAGAAAACAATATTCATTATATACATGTAAGCTCAAAAGCATATTTTTGTTAAATTAATTTTGATTGTGTTTGAAATTATTACTCAATTCATTTATGGCAGAAAAATATCCATCCTAATGACTTCTAAAAATGTAACTAACTGAATCATTATCTACATTTACTGTTTAATAAGCATATTTTAAAAATGTATGGCTAGAGTGTCATAATAAAATGGTATATCTTTCTTTAGTACCTACATTAAAATTAATCATGTTTGATTAACTGGTTGTTTCAATAATGTTGATGTAATGTGTCATTTATTTAGAATTCTACTGTTATCCAGTGCTTTTACTCATTAAAGTCATTGCAACAAAGAAACATAAAAGCATACCCAGAAAAATAAAGCCAATCATGTATCAAAATGGAAGAGTCTTAGGAATTTATACATACTTAAAAATCGATGTCTCAAAGGACTTAACACTCTGCACAAGTAAGAAATGTGTGAGTTATACAACCATTGCGAAGAAAGCAATCTAGTAACTCCACTACTGTAAAGCAGCAGTATGTTAAACTCCTTAGCACAGTCTTTGGGAAAAAGATTTTCCAAACATTATAACACAGCAAACATCACTTGATATACTCCCATACCAAGAGAGTTTATAAACTCGTGATCTCTCAACGTTGAAGTTATGTTCAGTAACTGATTCTTTACTAAATGGATGCTCAGACTATCAAATGATAGAATTTGTAAAAATACAAGGTGTGAAGATGAGCAAATTCCCTTTTTAGAAAAACAAAGCATATGATTCTATTTTGCTTTTAAAAATTAACTATTTGAAAACTTACCTAAACATAAAAAAGAGCCATGAACCCATGTGCTCAGTGTTAAGGAAACAAGGCTGGAAATTTCCATTTGTGCTACCCAGGTGCTGTGGGGCTCTCAGCACTTGGTCATCTCCAACTTCCCTCCCTCAAAATTCCCAGGGATCGCTTCAGGACATTCTGCAAACTCCTCTTCCTCCAAAAATTCATGCTCTTAGTGTTTCAGTGTTCTGTGTGGCATCTCCACAATGCCCACCCAGAACAATACCTTTCTCCTTTATTACTAGGCTAATCTAGTGACACCGTCACTAGAAAATTCTATGAGATTCTAATTCATGGAGTTCTTCCTCCATCACAGCTTTCCAGAGTGGGACATTGCTGCCTCTCCTTTTCTTACTGGACACATCCTGAAAGTATTTTCCTAACAAATGAGCAATCCTGTTAAGGGGAATACCATCTCCCTTCAAGGTCCTCCACATCAAACCACAGCCTTATTAAAAAAAAAACAATGGAATCTGGCATTTTGGAGCAATAGATTAATATGACACTTCACTTTCCATAACAGAATGAAGGTTTGAGTTCAAGATATTCAACCTCCAACCCAATTTCCCAGTAAAGTGCCTAGACCCCTGTCACCCATTTAAGAGACCTGGTTGGAGGTCCTGACTCCTGCCTTCAGCCTGGCCCAGCCCTGGATTTGGGGGCCATTTGGAGAGTGAACCAGTAAATGGAAGATATCTTTCTCTCTCCCTCTCATTGTGTCTCTCTGCCCTTCAGATAAATAAGTAATATTTGTCTTCCTATAGGAAGATGTAGCAGTGATAATTACTATCAATAATAATCATTAATAATTGCTGACAACCTACTGTGGTAAGCCATTAGGCCAATTTACAAACATTATAGTAACTCTTCTATCTTATAAATAAAAAAATCTTAAACATCGGACACTACTGTGAATCATACATTTTACAGACAAGGACGTGGAGGCCAAAGACCACATTATTGAAAAGTATAGAGAAGAGGGTGCATAAATCAGATCTGAAGACAGGAAAACCTGTGTTTGTACCACTTCAGGATGTAAACTTCCATCCAGACATAAGAACAACTTGTTACACTGACTGATACATTCTCAATCAACTTGGGCTTTACATGTTATAGGTAGAAATGTACATTCTTGAAAGACAAGCTACCTTTGATTATGATATTATCAAAATAAGCAGGCAATTCTACACAGTCACCAGTGTACCTGACTAGACATTCAATATTACCCACCGCGTCTCCTCTGTTTGTGTACGTGGTGATATTCATTCTTGACAATGCATTACACCTTGCGTGACATATACAGGTAGACCAATCTCGGGAAGGTTATGTCCTGGGTGCTCCCACAGTCCACAGAAAAGCCATTTTTGCATAAACAAAACTGCAAGTTGATCATCAAGAATCTTATTAAGAGCCAACAATGCGTCACTGATTTGTTCATGATAGTCTTAAAAAGTCAATGAGGTCTCAAGACACATGATTGATTTAGGGCTTCCAGGGAGAAATACGCACTCACGCACTGAAGCTTATGAGACCTATATTCCAATATTTCTGACCTTCAAAACAGTCTCATTCAACCCATACTAGGGTTCCCAATGGGTACACTACTAGCCCTAGATGGCATTTGGTAATTGTGTAGGATCCCGTGGGTTGTCACAATGATTAGAGAAAAAAATTGCTGGCATTTATTGGGTAGGGGCTAGGGTTCCAAGCTTTTCATGAAAGTAATCATCCTGTTTACTACAACCTCTAGTTCTAATTTATAAACTCAAAATAACTAGCATGATTTTAAACTAAGTGGAATTTTTCATGCATATGATTACCATGTAAATTAAAGGAAAGTTGTAATTCACCTGAAACTTTCCCTAGTGCTGTCTCCTGTTTTATAATATCACATAATTAGTGGCCATCCAAGCACCGTGCTTGGAAACTCTGCTCGACACCTGTGTCAATCTTCATATGCAAATCTTACATCCATGATTCTCCACATTCATGCAAGCATTGGAATACTTAATTATATTTTCTAGTAGCATTATACCTGAGCATTTCTAACATGTAACATGTGTGATTTTATTATAAGCTTTTTCCCTTCTATTTCTCCTCTATATTACAATTGAAGTATTATTTTAATTGATGTTGTATAATGGCATTATGTTTGAATTCCATTTTGCAACATTTGAGAGTAGAACATACTTTTTTATAAGAAGGTGCGTTTTGGTTTCATAGGGTTAAAGTACTAAGCTATGTCCACCAAAATTGAACCACTATGGGTCACAAAGACAGGGGGATGGGCCCAACGTGATAGCCTAGTGGCTAAAGTCCTTGCCTTGAACGCACCTGGATCCCATATGAGCGCCAGTTCTAATCCCAGCAGCTCTGTTTCCCATCCAACTCCCTGCTCATGGCCTGGGAAAGCAGTTGAAGACAGTCCAAAGATTTGGAACATAACACCCAAAAGGGAGACCCAGAAAAACCTCCACACTCCTGGCTTTGGATTGGCTCTGCTCCAGCCATTGTGGCCACTTGGGGAGTGAACCATCAGATGGAAGATCTTCCTCTCTGTCTCTCCTGCTATCTGTATAAACTGCCTTTCCAATAAAAATAAAATAAATCTTAAAAAAAAAAAACCAAGACGGGGGGGATGGCAGTCTCTTCATCTCCTTCTGTGATTTTCCTAAGCATAAGACTGGGCTGAAAACTGTTATCTTCCTCACCTACTTACAGATAAAAATTAAATCTCTTGGGATCCAATAAAGGATAATAATTATGGTTAATACAACATCTGGTTCCTAAGTGTTCTTCCCTTCACCCTGTGATAAAATGACACGGCTTTGAAAAGACTAAAGCAATCACAAAAAAACACAAACAGGTATAAATTGGACTTAAGACAATTACAGCAATATGTCATAAGCAAAATAAACCTTGGACTTCAAGGTAGAGAATCTGGCCTGGCAGAGAGGTTTATCTTTTAATTAAAGAGAGGGAGAGTTCAAGATGAATGGTCCCATAACATCCTAACTCTGTGTCTCAGTGATTCCTGCCTGACTCAGCCTCCCTCGGAAGGGTGTCCAGAGGGGCACTTTCACTCAGCATGGAAAATCAGAGACTCATAGCTTTTATTCATGGAAACTGGCCCCCATGAGTGCCATGGCTGACCTTCTTATTCTTCCTGATGAATATGAAATGGTCTTTCCCAACCACCAATCTCTAAATGATGAAAGGGTAAGGTACTGGTGATTGTTCCTTGAGGGAAAGAGTATCAGAAAGACACGCAGAAAAATTACCCAGACTTGCATTTCCCCATCTCGCATGGGTTCCACTTCAGTCAAGCTTTCATAACCTAAATCACGCAACGGTAGGGCTATTCTAGAAGTAAATTTCTTTCCTGATTTCTCCTGCCTGTCTACACTCTAAATATCATTTAGAGATAGACATATCTCCAACCCCTTTCTCTATACAAATAGTTTCTCTTGGGCTATTCATATTTTAAAATTCTCCTTTGGTATTTCTGGATCTTGGAAAGAAATACTATCACCACTATTCCATAGAGTCTGCTGGCTGTTTATTTGCTCACCCTACAAGATTCCCTTTCTCTGCTCTGCCTCACAGCCAACTATGTCCCTCAGCACCTATGCTTCCCTTTCAGAGTCAGTTCAGCTGAGATGAGGTACTGGTTTAACTTGAAGAAGGAAAGGGAAGAAGCCAAAGCACTTTCTCTCTTCTCTCTCTGCTCAAGTAGCATCTTTGACTATAGTTGAAGCGTTTCCTTCTGTGGCCCCTGCAGCCCAGCCCGGGAAGCCTTCCATCCTTCAGTGCCTGCAAGATGGACTGACATCCAATCAGAGGGTTTTCACCCAATAGCATCTCCTGTAGCCTGGGGGTCATGACTTCCTGGGGTGTGTATCTGAGTTGACTGCCCTCCTACTTGGCAACTCACCTCTTCTGTCGCACACATTAAATTCTATCTGATTAAAATGCCTGAAAAGGTTTCTGCTCTGCTTTCTGGACCCTAATTAACATATTCGGGAATGATAAAGAGTAAGAAACAAGGATGCTGAAATCAGGCAAACGTGGTTCTTTGTTGGTAACAACAACAACACTTCCAGCTGCATGTTCTGGGCAAGTTCACATAGCTTCCATGGGACTCGGTTTCTTATTTTGTAATATGATACTAATAACAATATTTGCCTCAGATTATTAAACACTATCATATGATAGTTTCTAAATGTCTAGATTTCTCAAAATAGTGAAATTTTTAAAAACAAAATGAAAAACTGAGGGAAGCTCTGACACCAAGTGCTAAAATCTTTATTTGGCTAAAATAGTTCATAAAAAAATAACTATCAACCATCACCATTGAATCATACATAAGAATGACATTTTTTAAATGAAAAGATTGCCTCAGAATAAGAGTTCATCCCTTAAATTGAATTAATTGAGCTTTGTAGAAAACTCATTAAGAGAAAATTCTTAGTTCATTTTTTTTTTAATTTCTCTGTAGCTAAGTGAGGCCACAGGCATATTCTTCTTTTGCGTGGGTTCTGGATGTTTTCATCATTATTTATTATAACTGTGTCTCTTATTATAATTAAGAATGATACTATCAAATACAGCTCTAACATTACCAAGCTACAATTCTCTTCATTGGCATTACGATATCCGTTTCTACATATACTCTAACTCATAGCATCAACTTGTCTGACATTGACAAGTGGCCATCTTTTTCCTAATGATTATGTAAAATGTACTTGCACTGTAAAGCAAATATAAATTTTGAAGTTTAGCATATTCATTTGGTCTTTCTGTATTTTTTCTACTTCTTACCTAAGCATAAGCCATACCACAGAACTACAAACTTCCAATATAACAATTTTTAAAAATTTTTTAAATTTACTTTCATTTTACTTTAAAAGGGGAGAGAGAGTGAGAGAGACAACAATGAAGACAGATGTTCCATCTACTGGTTCACTTCCCAAAGGCCCACCACTGCCAGGGCTGTACTTAGAACGCAATTTGGGTCTCCCGTGATAGCAGTAGGAACCGCAGGACTGGAGCTGACATCTACTACATTCCAGATTTCACAGTAGGAGGAAGCTGAATTGGAAGCAGAACAGCCAGGACTCAAACTGGGCATTCTGAAATGTGTTTGGGGGTGCGGGGATATCACAAGCAGCAACTTTAACCACTGTACCAAAAGCCCACCATTTTTAGCTATTTTATAATTTCAGACATAATGTCTGTTATAATGTGAAGTAATTACTGTTTTCAGCTAATTCAAAGGAACAACACAAATGCATTAGTTGCTTGTCATTATGTTTAAAAAAAAAAACACCCACCAATCATACTTACATGTATTTGATTGTACTCTTTAGCATGGGAATATAGTTATGTGTTTCATGCCTTTCCTTTTGGTCATATGTACTTCACAGAGCACTCTTCAAGATATTAGTATTACTCTAAGAAATCTATTATACATTATTTAATGGCCTGGTTTCTTACTCCTCAGCCTTTTAAACTTTCCATCATGTTAAATAATAGAAGCATTCCCATTGTGGCGAGCTCTGATTCCCTGAAACAAAAAGTAACCTATTTTCAAGTCCTTCTTAAGACATGAGGATTTATTTTGAATCTTTCAATACATATCCAACATTGTTCCAGATACTTTTTTGGGGTTCACTTCTGCAGAACCCAGAGTGTATCAACTGCAAAAGCCAACTGAGGACTTCCAGCATTGCTTTTAGAAAATGCAGAAACTGCAGAAACAGACTTTAGATACTGTCCAAGCACGTCCCTATAACTCTGTCCTTGTGTGGAACATGACTTTTGTGGGTTTGTCTAGGGCTCTTGCATGAATACCATCATCCTTTTAAAGACACGACACACTTTGCAAGAATTCAGAGTTTACAGTTGCATTTCTTCTTAAGTGTATAGAGTGAGCTAAAGCTGAAGAAGCCTGATAAGATAAGGAAAAACTGTCAGTGAAAAGTTTGATTAAGGAGTATTTTTGGTATATTAATGCTCTCTACAGTTTATTTGTCCAACGTTAGTAAGCCAGTTCTCACAGTCAACTGACAATGCTCCAACAAAAGTAAACGTTTCACCAAAGAACAACACACTCCTAGACTATCACACAGCTTGTTGGCAGGCAAGGAGAAGAAGATGAAATGGCAGACTGAGAGGACATGTGCCTGATCATTCCATTTGTACTTGGTGGTGACAGCAGCTGAAAATGTGATCTGCATCCCAGGATCTGAGAGAGCAAGGCAGATGTTGCTCTCAAAAGAGCAACCCACACCACTCACCGAGAGCTATTCTCCAAGTCATTTTAGTGGACTGCACACAACCACTCACACTTTCTCACCACACTCCTTTGGGAAAACTGCATAGTTTGGAGACTAGTCGAAAGGATGAAGGGAGAAGTCTGTGAAACACGGAATTCCATTTTCCTTTCCATGAAACCTACAAGTCTTTTTGGGGCTCAAACCCACAACCTTGAGCTTATTAGCACTCTACTCCAACCATGCCCAAAACAAATACAGATTGGAAGCCAAAGGAGCTTCAAACCACACTAAAGAATGTAAGCAATCAAGCCACAGGGAAACACATAAAGTAAACACTTTCTATATAGGCAAAAACAACAGAAAATTTGGAAAGAGCCTACATTCTCTGAATCCCTTAGTCATCTGAAAGCTTACTGGAAATTTCCATTTGGATATCTTCCAAACTTTGGCTTCAGCATTTTTCCTCTGTCAATCCCAGCCTCTAAAAGTCATTTTCTGTTTGGAATCTTAGTTTATGGCACCATTACTTAGTCAACCAAATTCAGAACCTTGGATTGTCCTTAACAATGCATCCCACATCCAAGGCACATTTAATCCAAAACAAAGACCTTGGAGGCCATCATTGAAACAGCTCTGCTTTCTCTCATTCTGACCATTCCCACCTAGGTAGCTTTAGCCCAATCTCTACAACCTTCTGAATAGTCCCAGTAACTGCCTCTCCACTCTCCTGTTTCCAATATTTCTGATTTACCACCAGGAGCATTCTGCTCAGTTCACCTCAAAAACAGCATGGACCGGGCCTGGCGCGGTGGCGCAAGTGGTTAAGGTCCTTGCCTTGCACGCCCAGGATCCCATATGGGCGCCGGTTCTATCCTGGCAGCCCCAATTCCCATCCAGCTCCCTGCCTGTGGCCCGGGAGAGCAGTCGAGGACGGCCCAAAGCTTTGGGACCCTGCACCAGCGTGGGAGACTCGGAGGAGGCTCCTGGCTTCAGAGCATCGGCCATTGTGCTCATTTGAGGAGTGAATCATCGGAGGGAAGATCTTCCTCTCTGTATATCTGCTTTTCCAATAAAAAAATAATAAAAATAAATCTTAAAAAAAAAAACCAAAACAGCATGGACCACGGTAACTACTTGATCTCTTACTTTTCCCCAAGGCATATCAAAGCTGTATGTCATTCACCTCCTAGAAATATCCCTTTTTCCTTCCAAAGATGAGAAAGCTAGCCATCATGAAAGACACAGTTCACGTCCAAGTTCTGTCTTTCTAGTCTACTTTACACTCTATGGATCTTTCTATTAAACTCCTGGGTCCCACCTCATAGTATCATTCATTCAGAATTTAAGACCAAATTAACCTACCCTAAGTTTATTTTTCCTTCATGGAGTGCTTCTCTCTCAATCAATTTGTAAATTCTCTGAAGGGAAGGATTTAATTTTTGTCTTTTAGGCACCTATAAAATCACATATGTTAAGAAAATACAGGAAAAGTCATGAGGAAAACAGATTTACATTATAGTGGGAAATACAATAAACAAATACATTAACTAGGTACTTACAAAGGGCAGGATAAAGAAAATAAGAGAGCTATAGGATTCCTCTTTTATCAGTCATAAAACACTGCCAAACCATCACGACGACCAAGAATTAATTTTGTTAAATAGAACAGTCACTGAGCGCTTGAAATACTACTGGCACAAATGAAATGTGCTGTATTTATAAAATACTTCCCACATTTCCAACTCTTCATGTAAAAAAGAACCCAACTGAAAGATCATATAAACTACATGCTACCATGGAAATATTTTTGTCATAATGGGTTAAATAAAATAGATGATTAAAACTAGTTTCATGCTTTTCATTTTTTTCATTGTGGCTACTAAACATTTAAATTATACATGGCTTGCATCTTTGGCTCTCACTCTATTTCTATTGGCTATAGCTGAACTAGAATAGTTACCAACTTCTCAGATATCAGGCATTTATCTCATTCGCTGGTGTTCCTTGTTGCCTAGCTTCACACTCTGACTTGGTGGATGTAGACTCAGTGTGGTCTTTTTCTGTGGTTGATCTACACCTTGGATTTCCTACTTTCACCAGTGATGCATTCCTGCTTTCCAAAGTTAAGGTGTCAGAATCTTGATCTTACTCACTTCTCTTCTTTAACCAGGTCTGTGCAATTCTCTCTGTAACGCCTCCATTTCTCACTCCTCTCTCTCCCTATAGCAATACCTCTGACACCTCCTCACACCAAAATTTCGTAGACTCTGTGCCTTCTTTGACTACAGTCTAACTGATATGCTATTGCTGCATCAGTTTTCCAAATCTATTACACTGAAGTTGGAGTTAAAGCATTGTACAAAGAGGTCTTAAAAACTCTTGCGACCTCCTTTGAAAATTAGAATAGATAGATTTATGAAGTTTTTCCGCTGTGTATCTCACATGTATAATTATACTTAACTGTCCCAATGATATTATGACAAAGATATTATCTTTATACTGATTCTGCAGATGAAATTTTAAGATTCGGGAGAATTAAGTTGGCATACCCCAAAGCACAACTCTATTTGTGCAGCCAGGACTCTCTGACCCCAGTGAGTGTGCTCTTTTTAAAAGATTTCTTTTAATTAATTAGAAAGGCAGAATGGTGTGGAAGGTGGGAGAGAAGGTGGTGAAAAGAGAGACTGCACAATCTCCCATATGCCGAGCCATGCCCCAAATGTCCACAAGGGCTGCATCAGGTTGAAGGCAGGAGCCCAGAACTCCATCCAGTTCTCTCATGTAGCTGCCAGGCATTCAGGCCATCATCAGTAGCCTTCTTAAGTGCATGCACAGGAAGTTGAATCAGAAACAAAGCAGTCCAGCCTCAAACTCACATTTCAATACGGGATGATGGCAGAGCAGATAGAAGTTGAACTTGCTGCATCAGAAAGCAGGCCCTGGGGCCTTGCTAGTAAATATTATGTTTTACTATTACAGTCACCGGGGGGGGGGGGGGAAGTCTTCACTATCCTTTGCCTCAAAAACTTGTTCCTCTTTATATCAGGGAATAGCAGCAGTACTTGCCCAGTAGCCCAGTTTAGAAAAACTCTGTCATTTCTGATGGCTTTTCCCATCTCACATTCTAAACTGAATCTACCATCAAGTCCCATAATCTCTCTCTTAAAAATATATCACTAGTCTAAGTTCCCACTGTCTTAAACATTTTCTCATACAGGCTTCATCATTGCTTATTTTAAAGTTAAGTTTTACTTTTTTTTTTCTTTTTTTACTGTATCCCTCAGAAAGATATATCTAAATCCAAACAGCTCCTCCCCTTCAAAATGTGTGAATGCAATCTTATTTTGAAAGTCTGTACATCTATTCAGATGTAATCAGTTAAGAATCTCAGGATACAAACATCCTGACCAAGAGTGGACCTTAATTCAGTGACTGAACAAGAAGAAGATAGTTTTGGCACTGAGACAGACACCAGGAAAAAAATTGTAAGAGGAGGAAAAGGAGGTCAATGAATGGGGCATAACAGGCTAATATTGTACCACTTGGTGTCCTGTTTGCTCTGCTTCTGATTCTCCTCCCTGCCAAAGGCTTGGGAGAGTGTTGGAAGATAGCCCAAGGCCTTGGGGGAGACGTGGAGGGAGCTTCTGGCTTCCAGCTGTGGACCAGCTCAGCTCTTTGTGATCATTTGAAGAGTGAACCAATGGAAGGAAGATCACTCCTCCCTACTCTTTCTCTCTAACTCTACCTTTCAAGTAAGATAAATAAAACCTTTCAGAGAGAGAGAGAGAGAGAGAGAGAGAGAGAGAGGAGGGGAACTGGAATGAGGCTCCCAAGAACTGAAAATGGAAAGGGTGACTGCTCTCATAGAGTCCTTTTTTTATTATTTCGTTTTATGACATGGTTTCATAGGCTCTGGGATTCCCCCAACCCCTTCCCAAACCCTCTCCCCTTGTTGGATTCCTCCACATGTTGCAGTGGAACAGTTCATATTCAGTCATAATTCCTTCATTGCGGGCATGTATCATGCATAGAGTATAGCATCCTATTGTCCAGATAGATTCAACAGCTTCATTGGGAGACCATCTCCGGTCTGAAAGTAGAGCTGGCAGAATATCATTCCGTCCAATGGAAACCAACAGCATCCCCTAGAGTCTTGAAAGAGATCATAGTCCTGGCCAGCACCTTGATTTTGTACTTCTGGTTTCCAGAACTGTCGGGGGGAGGGGGGAGAAAATCATTTTCTGTTGCTTTAAGCCACCTAGTTTATGGTAACTCATTATGGTAACTGTAGCAAACTAACACATAGTACTTTTTTCTCCTCAACTTGTTTTCATTTATTTAAGATTGACTGATTTGATTGATGTGAAAGATAAAGTGAAGGAGAGGGAGACACACACAAACACACAGATCTGCTATCCACTAGTTCACTACCCAAGTAGTTACAACAACAAAGTCTGGGTCAGGGCAACTGCAAGAACCAGGAGCTCCACACTGATCTCCCATTTGAGTGGCAGTGGCTCAGCACTCAGTCTGTTCTTCACTGCCTTGCCAGGAGCACCAGCAAGCATCTGGATCAGAAATGGAATAATAATAGCCCTCCCTAAACCTGTTTTCACACAGAAAAACTACTGGGTTTGGGTTCCTCTCAAAAGGATCTTGAAAATCAAAACTCCATCCTAAGAATAAGTAAAAAAAAAAAAATCCACGTAGATGGAAAAATCAGCAACTTTTCTTGTATCCATAAGGAAGGTGAGAACATGAGCTAACAACTGACCCCGAGGTTGGAGAGACAGACAGGCAAAGGCAGCGAGTCATGGCTTACTGGAGCAAGGGCTTCGGAGTGGAAACTGTGACAAGGAACAGAGCGGGGGTAGGAAAATCTGGTCTGTTGTGGGTGAACTGCTGGAGGCTGTGTGCTGGTGAGTCTGAATTAAAAATAACTCCAGAGGGACCTAGTCTTCCTAATACTGGAAGATCTGCCTCCAGGAACTCAGGTCCTCAGCATTAAGTCTCAGACAAAAAAAAAAAATCATACACCCAAGGGGAACATAGGAAAAGAGCCATTCTGAGATACACCCACAGCACTCTGTCCTTCCTCAGGAGGCCTGCCCTCAAAACAAGCTATTTAACCAGAGCCTAACCTACTGAGGTACACTCATAGCCTGACTGACCTGAGGAGAAGGGCAATACTCAACCACAGTCAGCTCTGGTCATTCTGCCCCACCTAACAAGGAAAACTAAGCCATCCTTGTGGAGGCACAGACTCACTGAAAGACTGAGAGCTATTCATAGGACCACGAAGGGCTCTAATCCTCCATAGGTTTCTGCCACAATACTGAATGCTTAGTTGCAGCTCTTTTTAACCTGGAACATCATGTGGTCTGGGAAAAATATCATAAACCATAACAAAGGACCAAAAAAAAAAAAAGCCCCAAATTTGAAAGGCTCAAGCAAGCATCAGAACCAGACATGGCAGGAGCATTAGAATTAACCTGGAACAAAAATTTTAAATAACCATGATTAATAGGCTAAGGGTTCCAACAGATAGAGAAGGCAACCTGTAAGAACAGATATATAACATGAACAGAAAGACAAAAACCCTAAGAAAGAACCAAAAATCAATGTTGAAGATCAAAAACATTATAACAGATCTAAAGAATGCCTTTGATTGACTTGTATTGGTAGACTGGCAATAGCTAAGAACAGAATCCCTTGGCTTGAGGATATAAATAAAACTTCAAAAGCTGAATAACAAATAATAGCTATAAAAGAAAAGCCAGGGACCAGCATTTCATTATAGCGTGTTAAGCTGTCACCTTTGACACTGGCATCCTATTGGTGCCTGTTTGAGTGCTTTACTCCTCTTCCTATGTAGCTCCTTGCTAATACTCCTAGGAAAGCAGTGCATGGTGGCCTAACAGAATCTTGCCACTTCTGTGGGAGACCTGAATGGAGTTTCAGGCTCTTGGCTGCTTCTCCCTGTTAACTCTAGAGGTCAAATAAATTAATACATAAATCTAAGAAAGGAAAAAAAAGGAAGAAGGAAGAAATATAGAAGGACAAAGCAGAATATCCAAGAACTTGGCACAAATACAAATAAACAGCATGTACATACTATGAATAACAGAAATTGAGAAATAATAATACTGATACTTTCCCCAAAATTCACAGGTCTAGGAATCTCGGAGAATACCAAACAGGATAAATACAACACACACACACACACACACACACACACACACACACACACACACACAGTAGAAAAGCAAAAACAAAACAAAAATTCCTGAAAATTAAAAGCTTAAAAACACCTGCAGAAGAACCAAGAAAAGAGTGACATCATCTTTTCCTTTAGAAATTATGTAAGTAAGAAGGGAGTAGAAGGAAATATGCAAAGTGTAAAAAACCAGTATCTCCAGCAAATTACTATTCCGTACTCTCCAAAAGCATTAGTCAAGAGTGAAGGGGTA